ATACAACCTCCCATATACTTTCAATTCTATGTTACTTATAATGCCTAAAAGTGGAAGTGCTATGGAAAGGGTACCACTATCTTATTAAAGAAATAGTGCTAATATAACAAAAAAATCTATATGATTTTAATACAGAAGCGACCATCATGAACCTTATTACATATTACATTGGTGGATCCACAGGTATAGGGACCTAACTGTATATGTGGATATAAGTCAATATCTTCTTAATAAATTCATGACTATAACCTCTCTCTATCTTCTCAAGAATGATGTGCTCATTTCCAGTAAGTCAAGGTTGTCTTGGCTTAAAATTCACCTCCAATGTGAAATCTTTTTTTCCAAACAAGGTGAATTTCTCCAGACTTTTTTTTTCTTCCTTCATCTGCAAAATGGCACATGAATTGAGGGGAGAGTTAGTAGGGAATGGAAACAAGCCTTAGTTTCCTGCAGGAAGGTTGTGGCACCGGCCTGACCCTGTCTGATCCACACTCACTAGGAAGGGCTCTGTCATATCTGAGCAAGGACTTCTTCTCAGGGATTCTACAAACATGCATGTATTGGTACTTGCTGTAGGATTCTTAAATGCAAAATCACATGCCGAACATGAAACAGAAACCCCCAGATGTGAGGCATAAGCACTGTACAACTGGAGACCAGACAAGGGAACAACCCAGTCTGCTGCCAGGGGAGGGTGATGTTTTCTGTGGCAAGGTGACATTGGCAGAAAGGTAGAGATGGTAAGGATAGTTCCTACTGGTGTGTCTTTGGGTATCAGAACCCACTCAGTGTTCAGTAAATGATTTTCCGATGAATCTTATGACTCCTAAATTACATTTGCTAATTGTCATTCCATTTCTCTAACTGCTATAAAGGGAAAACTATGTAAATACAAAAGCCCTTGCTTGATTTGACAAGGTATGAATGAATTTTAAGCTGGTGTTGAAAAGTAGCAAAAGCTATTGAGTGCGAAACATTAAAACTCCAATTTGAGACTCAATCACCAGAGGCATTAACTATGTCAAGGTGACCTGTTAGTTGGACAAAGAGGAGGCCATCTAGATGTCCTCCTGTGGTGTAGGTACAGCAGAGAATAAAGGACATACCAAATTTGGGGCACCTCTCTGCCTGATAGATACTAGTGGGGAGCGTGTGGGTATTCCACTTACTATAGGAGATCATTGTTGTCCCAAATGGAAACATTCATCTTTTTAAATCTTAGACTCCTCATATCTCTGGAACCTTTTAAGAAAAAGAACCCAGCCCATACAGAACACAAGACCTAATCTATAATTGCTGTGTATCTTTGTTCTTTCTTGCTTTGCCCTGCCTGTTTATATTGTAATATTAATAAATGCAGCATTATAATGAGCTTTGACTGAATTATCTTCAGAGAGTTGGTACAGGGTGTTCCTTGGAGATGCATAACTGAAGTTCTGTTTCTGGAGGGGAGTCTCTTCCTCATTAGCTGGGACAGCTTGGAGCGTGAGGACTCAGGAGGCGGGAGCCACAGCGCAAGGCCACCTGTGCTTCCGCAGGAACAGGGACCATCTCTGCTCAGCTTTGGAATAAACCCAGGGCTTTCATTAAAAATGTCAGGCGCATTCCCCAGAGCACGTGCTGATGGCATGTCATGTTGGTGCCTCCAGAGGAGTATCGCTGACACCTACTAATAGTCTGACAAACGGTTAAGTAGCTGCTTGGGCTCAGGTTGAGGAATCAAGGATGCCGTACCCAAGTGCTAAGCCTTATACACATGTTCTCCCTGCACGCACGGCTAGCAAAGACGATGCCTGCTCCATGCAGGCGCCCTCCTGCCCATTGAATCCCAAGGCCACGCCCTGCAGAGCACAATGCCAGAGTATCCTGTTGTGAAATAACCAAGAGCCCTTGTGGATGTGGCTGTGTTTTTATGGTACTTTAATTTTGACTGCCTGGCATCTATAACCCATTGTATCTTTTGGATGCCTTACACTGCATGCTTTAGAGAATAAGTCAGAGACCCATTTCATTTAGGGAAGTTGAAAAGCCAGACCTCACTTTCTAAGCTCAGCCAGCTAGGCTGTGGGCACTTGACCAGGCAAGTGGCTCCTAGGAGGCTTTTAATCTGAATCAAGCAAGGGAAGGAAGTGAGAGAAGAGAATTCATAGCGGGAGCAACCACAGTCGGGGATCAGGAGCAGGCATGCTCATGGAGGCCAGCATTCTGCAGAAAGAAGGCCACACCGGATTTTTAAAGAACAGGACTGTGGCTAAGCTCCTTGTGCCTAATCACTCTGTTTCGTAATGATTTTTCAGGCCAAATTTTGAAAGGATTCTGAGACCCAGTTGATATTATTTCAATACTTTGATGTCATATAATTATGAATTTATTTTAATTACCCCTTCCTTTAGGAAGAAACTAGAGATGAGCTGCACAAGACAGGGATCTTTTCTGTTGTTTGCAGTTGAGAATCCTAGCTTGATCACTTGTGGCCATGGCTTGGTCACTGCCCAGTGGTCACAGCGATAATGGCCTCCACGTAAAAGCTTTGGCCAGGCATCTACGTGTCAGGGTGGTGAGTCAGTGGAATGCAATCTCCTGTTTCGTGCTGACCCTCACCGTGCGTCTGTTCTTTGTCTCCTCCTGTACTTTTTTTTCCCCCCTTTAATATCAATCTCACACAGACTATTGTGTATGTTGGCCGCTCTATTGATGTGTGGTACCTCGGAACTCCTAGTTATTATGTGAATTAGATGTAGGTTCAGTGACTTGACTCATAGGCCGGCAGGTCAAGAGGCGGGGGTGCTGTCTGCATTAGGCCCTGGCCCAGGACCCCTTAGCCATTTGTTGAAGAGGAGCCTGTCCTTATGCCCCCAATTAATTTAGCACACACTGCTTTGTAAAATGCCAGTGCACGCGGAAGCAGGCAATGTGTTAACGTCCTGTGGACATTATGCGGCCATTCATTCTTGCCCTGACAGCTCCACTTCAAGAGCCCTCTGCCAAACCCAGCAAAAGGGGAGGGAATTTTTACTCTCTGATTCTGAGTTTCATTTTGGATATGGAATTTTAATTTTCTGTGTATATTTGGAAGAATGGAGGAGATAAAGTGGAAAAAGAATTAGCATAGGAATAGTAAGGTATATGCTTAAATTTTTGAGTTGAAAATATGACCTCTGACATTATTTTATTGTGTTATACTTTGTAGGTGTCATAGGAACAAAATTGTAGTCCACATTTTCTCAATACATACTGAGTATGCAGGATCCTGGGTGCTGGTGGCTCTTCACTCAGGACAGATTTTAATCCCTGTAGGGCATTTTTACACTTCTGTCTAATTCTCACAGCTAGATAAAAGTGTATAGATTTTCCCATGTCTCTGATTATTGAAGAATAACCATTCCTCATGACAAGACACAAAGCTTAAGGAACTGGAGATGAGCTGTAATATTTTATTCTTTTGTTTTAATAGACATACAATCATAATATACTATAATATTTTGATATATATAGTGTAATAATTTGATCTTAATGTTTGGTATATTTATGATCTCACACAGTTTTCATTCTTTTTTTTGTAGAGAACATTCACAATCCTTTCTCCTGGGCATTTTGAAATATTCAATACAGTATGATTAACCATTGTCAAATTCCTGTGCCGATAGAAATCAGAACTTAGTCCTATGACTGTAACAGTGTACAATCTCCCATGTCCTTGTCTCGCTAAGGCCCTCCCGGATGCTGGGAGCTGCTGTTCCACTCTGTGTCTGTGTGATGCTTCTTTAGAGTCCTCATATGAGGACAGTGAAGTACTTGTCTGTCTGATCCCCTGCGTGCCATGCTGGCCCAGCCCTCAGGGCACACTGAGACTGTGATTGAGATTGGGCATGATGGCGCATACCTATAATCCCAGCGCTTGGGAGGCTGAAAACAGGAGGATCACTATGAGTCCAAACTACGTAGTGAGACCCTGCAGACCCTGTAGGTCCTGCATGGGGAAAAAAAAAGTAACGCGGGTGCAGATAGCTCTTCAACACACTGATTACATTCCAGCTTTGCATGTGGAGCTGAGTGGGATTGCTGAATCATATGGGAGATGTATCTTTTAGTGTTTTAAGGAAACTCTGCCTTATTTTCTACAATTGTGGTTCAGTACTAATTTAAACTTGCGCCAACACTGAGTAAGAGTTCCGTGTCCTCCACATCCATGCGGCCATTCATTGTGTCTTGACTTCAGGATCACAGCCATCCTAGCAGGGATGAGATGACAGCTCCCAGTGACTTTGCTTCGCATGTCCCTAAACAGTGATGGCGAATGTCATTTCCTGTGCTTATTGGCTATTTGCATATATCTTCTTTTGAAAAGTTACTTTCCAGGGCTTCTGTGTATTTTGCAAATTAGATGTTGATCATGATGATGGTAGTGACCATGATTGTGATAGTTGTTGTCATTGTTATTTTTCTCTTGAGTAGATTTTTAAAACAAAGAAGTGAACACTGTGACAGACCAAAGTAGTAGACCCACCGGTGAGATCTGTGTGATTATCGGTTTCAAAGTTACATGTGCTTGGGGTCAGGGATTGCATACCAGCCCTAGTCCACTAAAATGGTAAAACATTTGTACATCCCATACTCCCTCAGTTCCCATGTAGAATATCCACAGGTCTTGCTGGAAAGGAGTCTTCTTCTTTTTTTTTTTTTTTAATGTTTTAAGTGCAGGGTCTACAGGGACTCACTACACAGATCAGACTTGTAGTGAGCCTCCTGTTTTCAGTTTCCCAAGCGCTAGGATTACAAGGACATGCCACTACACCCAGTCTCAACTGTGGCCGCTGGCTCTGCCTAAGCAAGTGCGTTAGTCCGCTGAGCTATTGGACTGGTCCTGGAAAAGGAGTCTTAACTTCATCCTTCAGGAAACACAAATTTATTGGTGTAAAAGTGCATGGCTTTTGTTCACTTTGCTCTTTGCGCTTCTGAGAGTCATTTGTCTTTGAGCAACATCTGTGTTCTCTTTACAGGGAAGAGTGATCCTTTCTGTTTGTTGGAGTTAGGCAATGACCGGCTGCAGACACATACCATTTACAAAAACCTCAACCCTGAGTGGAACAAAGTTTTTACATTGTAAGTGCTTTAGCCTCTGGAATATCGAGGAGCAGCTTTAACTTACAGAGCAATTATCTCTGATATGTTCGGGGCAAGCGAGGGCTCTTGAGTGGAACTTTCTGTCCATTTTTATGTGCAAAGAGTGAATTTTATTGTTTTTTTCCTTCTGAAAACCTTTTATCCTTTCCTTTTCTCCTATTTTATAGAGTGTGATGTTAATAATAGAAGAGATCTTTTGCAACTGCAAGGCAGTGTTATAGGAGACACTGGTAAAGTAGATCTTTTAGTGACTAAATTAATCTGTGTGTAGATGGAAACATCTGGGTAGCTAGAATAATTCATTCCTGATTTAAGGAAAATTACAAATGGAGCCCTGCCTTAAATTCAAGGAGCTATGTATTAAAACATTATCCTAATGCCTGAAGGCTGTCATCTGCCAGAGTCTTTTGGGAAACCAGATTATCTGTGTATCCTTTATGACTGCCCAAGGCTCCCTGTACCTCTGTTGATCTGAGCAGCCCACTCCATATCTAATTGCCAAACCTGGGCATTTAGGGGCCTACGTGTATCCTGTAGCTTTATGCTTCAAGGCACCTGAACAGGAAGGGGAGACCCTTGCTGAATTTGGATGAAAGGATAGTGTTTACCCCCACAAAGCTCAATAAATGCTCAGTGTGTACTTAGAATTAAAAAAAAAAAAGCCAAGTATGTTTGTAGTGGGGTTGACTGCAGTCTAGGAAGTTCTCAAGGAACTGTGAGAAATAGATCTGCGCTGTGAAGCAGGCCTGCCAATTTCTAGATGTAAGTGTCCCTTTGTTTCCAAACAACGAGCTGATAGTCGTGTCTCCCTTTTTCATTATCACTGATAAGTGGCTCAGGTCAATATTAAAAAACAAACAAACAAACAAACAAAACAACTCTAAATGTGTATGAGATTTTTGGCAATTTGTGTTGCCATTGTAGGAGGCAGGAGGCTTTCTATGTATCTCAGCAAATATTAATTTTCCACCTCTTACCAAAAGAGAAATTTTCACTAAAGAAAATGTTATTTTCACTCATGATTTTGTATCTACTTTGCAATCGCTTTTCTTTAACCCTCCTCCTTCCTCTTCCTTAATTTGTTTCTTGAATCAGCTTACTCTTGAGTACCTGTATGTATGGGAATGTCACAGAGAAAAAAGTTGGCTTGGTTTTGTTCATGGGGATGTCTGAGTCCGCTCTGATGGAAGGTTTGGGAATACAGTCAGTTTGATTTAATTTTTGGAATTTAATTAAATGGTAGTTTTATACTCCGAGGACACACAGACTTAATTAGTGAAACAGTGTTTTCAGATCTCATGGAACAGACTTCTCATGTGTGCTTTTTATGTATAATGCCTGATATTTCTTGTTTCAGTCCCATTAAAGATATCCATGACGTTTTGGAGGTGACAGTCTTCGATGAAGATGGAGATAAACCCCCCGATTTTCTCGGAAAAGTTGCCATTCCCTTGCTGTCTGTAAGTTCCCTTTGTTAGCTGACAATTTTATAATTGATGACTTTCTGTGGTCTATGTTATTTTCTGTCAGTCTGGGAGGAAAAAAAAAAAAAACATTTCTAGCTCTGGCAAGAATCTGCTATTTGATTCCTTATCTTTATATTTCAGATACTAAGAGACACATACTTTTGTGTTAACCTAGTATTGCTTTAATGAACCAAAATGTTTTCAGCACTCTTGCAATTCATTGTCAGTCTCCCTAATTTTTAATTTCATTTGGGGGCTTCACTCTGATGTCAAGGCATATAGACCTATCGCTGACTTCTGCTTTTAGTAGTGAAAACACACTTGCATTTCTTTCTGATCTCTTTTTGCACATTCCTTCAAAGTTCAATTGGTGGTAAGAACACATTTGCTCCCAGGCTGCTCTAGACCATGTCCCCCAGAGTTCCGTGTGCTATTTTAATAGAAAAGTTTGTTTGCAGCCTCAGAAAGCACTTTGTGGTAGAAAGCTTGGAAAAGGAAATGTACTGTAAAAGTCCAATTAATAAATAAAACAGGGTCAGCTAAGAGAAAAAAGCAGAGTGAAAAATGCTTCTACAGTGCAGAAAAAAACCCCGTCAAAGCATGTAAATAAGAGGGAAGGGAGAAAGCTGGAGAGTGACGCCGGTATAAATGTGCTCCAGAAAAAAGAATTGTGATTTTCATCCAACCATGAATAGAGTCTGTCCTAGAGTCATTATGATTTCATCAGCTACTAAAGCTTTATTTCTTCCCAAAGACTTATTTTTCTAAAGCTCTGTGTACATTTTCGTGAGCTGAGCACTCTGCAGTTCACCATGTGACGAGTCTAACTCACACTGTGTTTACAGAGCGGGGAACACTGTACCTCTTAATATCTCTTCGTCTGTTTCTGATCGCTTGGATAATTTCTCCCCAAGTTGTCATATCCCTGATGTTACTCCAAGTGCCTGCGTGGAGCATCTGCTCCCTGATACAACTGGCTCCTGCCAAATGCTCGGAGCCATTGGCGACAGGCAGCAGGGCCAGGGAGAGGAGCTAGTAATTTGGGATTTCCCCTCTTTTTTATTACAACTTTGTCAGTTATTCCTGGAAGAATATATGTAACAGGAATAGGAGGCACACTTGCAAGATGTCTAAAGGGAGCATCACAAAATCTCTTCTTTACAATTCAATTTTGGTCCCTTCCCTCCTGCCGCCCTCTCCCTGTCTCTGTCTTTCTCTGTGTGTCTGAGTCTCAGTCTCTCTATCTCTGTCTCTGTCTCTCTCTTCTTAATATATAGGTAAATCTTAGTACAGATTTTCTTCTTGTGAAAACATATTTGGGATTTTTTTATGTATTTAGTACAGGATCTACAGGGTCTCACTACACAGATTGGACTCATAGAGATCCTTCTGTTTTCAGCCTCCCAAATGCTGGTATTACAGGCAAATGCCACCACACCCACTCTCACTTGCAGTCTCAGCATGCCCCGGGGATGGTGCCAGCAGGGCATGCTGGGGATTGAACGCTGGTCCCTGAACCCGTCTAAGCAGGTGCTTTAGTCCGCTTAGCTATCTGGCTGGCCCAATATTTGGGATGTTTACAAAAATCTCCATTTTGTTTATAAACGTTTTGCACGTTTTGTGTTTCTACAGTGCTAACAGTTGACTTACAGTGGAGTACTTGCTTTCCCCTCCTCTCTTCTCCATCCCTGCTTGACAGAGCTAAGGAATTAATACTAGGTAAATCAGGACATCTTGTCTTTGGCATTATTAACATTTAGAGCCAGGATATTTTTGTTATATTGAGCTTTCCTGCCCATTTCAGAACATGCAGAATCCCCTTGTCTTCTCTGTACTAGAAAACAGCAGCACCTGCCACCCGCTGCTGCTGTGACAACCTACAATGTCCATAGACACTGTGAAAAATCTGGAATGAAGGGTAAATCACTCTTTCTGGGGAACCATTGGCCCAAATCAATGCAGTTTTCAAAACATTCTTTCAAAACACAAGGTGGAAAGTTTTGGGAAAGACCAAATTTTAACATAAGCATCCTCCTTTCTGGCCAGTTTTCAGGTTGCAGGGAGGGCTGCCTCAGGATCTTGTCAGTATTCATTTATTCCTCAAATAGTGATCAAGTGTCACTGTGTGCCAGGAACTGGTTTAGGGGACAATATTCTAATTATGGGCATAGTCCCTGCTCCTTAGAATTTGTCTTGTGGTTTCAAGGTGGATAGAAGATGATGTGTTAAAGCTAAAACAACACACAGCTGGTAAATGGTGACAATGTAGGCTTGGGAGCGGCGCAGTTTCCATGGCTGACCAGTGAGGGCTTCATAGATAGGGGACAGTGAAATTTAAAGAGGTGGGGGAGTCCCCTGGGTGTCTATCTAGGCCAGGGCTAGGGAAGAAATCTGCAAATTCAAATGCTCTGAGACAGCCCAATTCCAAAGAGGATGGGTCAGCCAGCATGGCTGGAACAGTGGAGTAGGTGGGGGTGGGGTGGGGGAAGAGCAGGAAAGGGACAGGAAGGTGGGAAGGTGCAGGTATTAAAAGACAGAAAACTGGGAAGCGTGGAGGACTTAGGCTTTTGCTTAGTATGGAAGAACCAGACATTGAAAGCCAGAGAGTGTTTTTTTTTTGTTGTTGTTGTTGTTTTTTGTTTTTCTGTTTGTTTTACATTGTTTAAATGTAAAAAAAAATGATCTATGGAATATCAAGAAGCATGTCACATTTTTTTTTTTTTTATTTTGAGTGCCGGGGAGATGGCTCAGTAGAGTAAGCACTTCCTTGGCAAGCACAAGGGCCTGAGTTCAATCACCGGCTCTGCCAAAAAAACCCAAAACAACAACAACGAAAAGAAGTATACCCCATTGTGAAACATCTTTGTCTTTAAAGGCACGTGACCTGTGTTCTTGAGGCCTTCTGGTTCCCTGTAAAATGGGACTGAATAGATTGCTTCAGTGGGGTGGATTCTGCTAGGATTCACCTGGGATTCCTTGATTGATAAGCTCAGAAAGTAACAAGAGTCTCACAGTGGATCTGCATGCATTCTACTGTGCAGGAGGGAGTCCCCTGCCATGAGCCTCTCCAGCCTGGGTCACCCATTCGAGTGTATGTTTGCAGTATGTAATAATTATATTCACCATGGGGAGTTGGCACATGTAGGTGACACATCTCAGTGTTTTTACTAGCCTTCTCCCCATCTCTTCTGGTTCTCTCCAACTCTTAGGATAAATGTGATCTTAAAACTGTTATAACCTTCATTATAATTGGCAAGCTATAAGTTCATGGATTATTTCATTAAATTTTCTATTTTCATGTACTTCTACATTGTGCTTTATAGTACATGTTTTAAAATATACCTACTTAGATCTAGGGGGTTTTATTTGTTAATATTTTTTTTGTGTGTGGAACTGGGGATTGAACTTAGGACCTTGCGTTTGTCAGACAAGCATTTATTCTACTAAGCTATCTCCCCGGCCCTCTTTGTTAATATCTGTTGAGTGTCACTTAATATATATAACATGTACAATCATCAATTTTCTAATGACTTAATAAGGCACATGTCATTATGCCGGTTTACATATTAGGAAACTGAGGCACAGGAAAGCTCCTGTCTCTGGCAAGTAATAGAAGTAGTATTTCAATTCGGGCAGTCTCTTACCCAAGTCTGAGCTCTGACCAGTGTGTTAGGCTTCACAGGGAATACTGTTAAGCGAATCTCCTACTGGAAGCAGGCGTAAGATTTGGTTGTGAGCTATTGCTGTGCTATCCACAGGAGAAACATTAGCTGGAGAGCTGTATGCTTGCATTAGTGGGGAATGCATATGTAATGGTCACCCACATTCTAAGATAGTAAGTGTCATACACAGGAAAGGACCAACCTGATGAGAAAGAGGATGGGACTTAAAAGATTTTAAGAAGCAAGGAAGGGCTGGGGAGCTAGCTCGGTGGTCTAAGCACCAGCCTGGCAAGCACAAGGTTCTGAGTTCAATCCTCAGTACCTCATGCCATGCTGGCCCCAGAACTGTGTGTGGTGGTGTGTGTCTGTAATCCTAGCCCTGAGGAGGCTGAGGCTTTCTATGAGTCTGAATTGCGTAGTGCATAGCAAGACCCTGTAACAAAAGAACAAAAAAGAAGCAAGAGCTTGAACTGAGTCAGGAAGGAGGAAGGTGTTTGTCACACCAGTGAGTGAGCTGAAGAATAAATGTCTTTTCTGGCAGGGAGCAGAGTGTGCGCGGCCAGGCAGGCGTGCAGGGGGAAGTGCGCCTTGTGGACTGAGGGGGATCTCGGTGCCTGGGTCTTGGTGCCTGTGCCTGAGCATGGAGGTGGAAGAGGGGATGGAAAGCATCTGTAGCAGGTTGGAGGGAGGTTGGCGTTACTGTACTAAAAGGAAGGCACTGCAGCGCTTTGACCTGCGGATGGAGTTATCAGAGGACTCGACCAAAAAGAAGCTGACTGCAGGTAAAGCAGGCCCCACGGGGATCGTTCACAACAGCCAGAAGTGAGCTTCGAACCCGCTTAGAGTCACATTGCTTGCTTCTTCTCAGAAAGACTTATTTTTTCTGTTGTTTTTAATATGAGAATCACAAACATTGATGATTAATATCTTTCAGGATATGGAATAATATACAGTAATGCATAGTTTTATTTTTATAACCCAAAAATTGCAATTAATTTAACAATTGAATGGAAATGCTTTGTAAGAATACATTTTCCTTACTTAAGTAATAAGGTGGCTTGATTTACATTTTTGGAGACAGTGCAAGTTACATTTTAAATGGTCTAAGAACAAAGTATAGAATGTACTTTAACTTTTAATCTTACTCAAAATGTTAATGTGTTCAGTACATTTAAACCTGTTAAATAAAGAGGCTGTTCTAAATTCACTATATCTTTTTAATCAGGGTTAAAGTGCTAGCTGAATATTGGCTCATTTAAAATCTGCTAAAATAACTATATTGATTCGTGGTGGGGAACTGTTCAAGAAGATGTACATGAATTTGAAGAATGC